CCCCCCCCCCTCCCCCGGCTCACATGGAAGACAACCACGAGGCGTCCGGTGGCGGAGGCGTTGATCGCCGCGGTGGCCCTCTCTTCCACCCCGCCCACCAGCACTACACCGAGGTGTTCGACGAGGATGGGGGAGGCCACCCCGGTTTCCGACCCTACCATGGCCCTCCTCGCTGGATGGCGATCCGCAGGGCTCACGGCGGCGGTGGCTACGGTGGTGGCTACGGCAGTGTCTTCGGCGGCGATGTTGGCCAGCAGTAGCGCAGGGACTACCACTGGGGGTGAGCATCTTCGTCACCGTCAAGCCGAAGGAGGAGCCTAGCCGTCTACAACCGTTCTGCCCTTGTGTCGCGTTTTGTGGCGCAAGACTGAGGAACGACATGAGAGTAGATGAGTTGGAGTAGCTTTTGTCTCTCGCTACTAATTGCAATTGGGCAGAAGCCTCCCTCGGAAACACTGATACGAGGGATGGAGAACGGAAGGTTTTGACTAGACGAGAACCGTTTCACCGTTTGGCTTCTGCACTCATGCAGCACTACGATACGCGTACATGCTCGAAACATCTTTCAAAATCAAACTGATTTCATGTGAGTTTGGCCTTTCGTGGTTTGTTTTTTCTGTACTCTCGTTGGTGAGAGAGTCGTTTGTTTGCGTATAGTATATAGTCGCAGTGCGAAGAGAAGGTAACACACCTGGTGGCTGATCGCGAGCGGGGTAAAACAACGAGTTGGTGGCGCCATTGGCATGCGGCGTCAGAGTGTTGGCAGCGGTTGGGCTGACCTCGTTTTCGGACGGGGAGAGAAGTAAGGCTCGCGGACTATTACCCGCGTGGTGAAATCGGGCAAGGAAGAACTGCTGCACCCACTACCCACTATGGGTATTACATGAGGAGGAGGGAGGCACACGTCGCGCAGCGGTGTGTCGATTGCATAGATCGGAGTGTTGGTGTTGGTGTCAAAGCTACGTACGAGCGGCCTCCAGTGCATGCACAGCAGTGTACGGTAATGATAGCCGAACGCCATGTTGATTTTTCGGACTGGAAAGTTGTATGTAAGCGAATGGGGCCCACGACGGGTATTACATTAGGAGGAGGGAGGCACACGTCGCGCAGCGGTGTGTCGATTGCATAGGTCGGAGTGTTGGTGTCAAAGCTACGTACGAGCGGCCTCTAGTGCATGCACGGCAGTGTACGGTAGTGAATAGTCGAACGCTTGCCATGTTGATTTTTCGGACTGGAAAAAAGTTATGTGCATATGTAAGAGAATGGAATGAGGAGGGAAAGTAAATTGTAGTCAAATTTAGTTTGTCCCTGTGGCGAGCTGGTCTGGGCTAACCGCGTGGCAGTCTCGATCATGCAGCCACAGTAGTATCGACGTGGGCATGGGAGAGAAACGAGAGGGGAAGGAGAGCGAGTTCCACTCACCGAGTGGCGAGAGAAGCAATAAGAAAGGACCCAAGAGGTCCAAAAACCAAAACGACTCCGGCTTGATGTCCTCACGACATTCATCTATGGTGTTGGCAGAAGCTTTTTTTCCTTCCCTCATGTTTTTTTGTTTCACCTCCGTTTTTTTTTTTGGCGGTAACCATAATGGTGGTCGAGTGGATCATGTTGTGCGGGGTGGAGAAC